GATTTCCTCTGAAGGGAAAGCTGTGATTAGGCCGGGCATAAACGCGGCAATAAACCAACAAGGGTTTATTGTTAGGCTCACGTTTAGTTGAAGAGAGGCCGGCACTGAGGGACTGCTGAGTTTATTAAAATCAGTCAAGGGTCTTGAAAATGAACTCGGTTCTAAAATATAGTGACGAGTTTATTAATAACTGAAAATGCTCTGTGAAAGCTTTACTTGTGTCATTGTGTTTGGTTTTGGTATTTTTTTTTCTTTCTTTTTCCTTTGATCGGATTTACTCACTTTGTTCATTACAAAAACAAGGATACAACATCTGAATTGCTTATTTGACCAGAGTCCAACAGTTTGGACAGAGTTTACCATATCATCATGCCAGTGCAACAAGGTCGTAACTCGATGTCCATTGAAATAATGTCGTTGGAATTTGAGTGGGGAAGGTTCCTAGTAAATCACTCCAAGGGTTAGATTAAAGCTAATTATTGATATCATTATTACACACAATAAAGAGCTGATGACAGATCCACAGCACATCAATAAAACTGATTTGATACCAATGCCAACAGCTGGTTCATGAGTGTATTCTACTTTCAAGGGTAAATTTCTCTTCTTGTTTGTTCTTTTAGAAAGACCATATGTCACAGTCTACAGTCCCCACTCACTCTACACTTGTTCAGACATTCAGTATAATAACCATGCCTTCAATCACAGACAGAGGCTGTATTGCTCGTTAAAGCTGCGTTCTCCTAGTCTGAGTATCACCCGTTGTCTAAGGGAGCCCTCTCCGTAACATAAGCATGCGTGCACATTTTATGAGATACCACATGCCAGCCAATTGGAGTCGACTTTAGAAATTGTGTCGTCATTTCGATCAGATATGTGGACTAAGCTGTTGATTGGTCAATTTGACTGCCATGCTTTTGTAATACAACAGGTTACCAAAAGACCTAATATGTACATAGAAGGCGCCCACTGAATGGTCAGAATCTCAAAGTCAAGGCGCAGTCCTGTTTTGCATAATTAATCACCAAATCTGCTTGCATATCATAGACCATTGCAGTGAAAAAGATAATCCATAGACTAGCGTTCCCTGTGCTCTTAAAAAAATACAATTTCTTTTCTCTCTCTCAATTTCGACTTCTATGTTTTAACTTTATTCCAACCAAAATTCCTGGGTTTTCTTTCTTCTCTTTTTTGGATGTCTGCCAGCCTGTTTGTTTTGGGCTCAATTAGATCCGCATTGCAAACAGACTGGCTCCCTGTCAGTACAGTATACTGATTGTAAAGAGGGAACCAGCCGAACCAACAAAAATGAAATTACTGTCTGGCAGCCAATAATTCGATCTTTGTAAAATAATTATGCAACAACTGAACATAGGCCTACCGTATTTATGCAGTGGACGTCTAATTCTAAACTGAATTTCTTTGTAATACTAGACAAAAAGCACTCCAGAAAAGTAATCTATTTTTCTGGAGGAAACTCCAAAATAGCACGGGATGCAACTTTAAATTTGAATGGCCGCCCTCAGCTTGCTGGCCAGGGTTTACCTGGCGGTCGTCATTCACTTGACCTGACTATACAGGGACAACGCAATTCAAAAACATGATCACCAAATGTGGTTGTGGTTGGCGTAGGCCTATGTTTATTTTTTTAAAAATAGAAATTTGTTACCCCCCCAAAAAACAATTTTTTTCTGGTTGTTTTTGCACCTGTACACAACAAAAGATCAGTCAGAATTATTTTCAGGCGGCAATAATGTGAATTTGATCCAGCTGTATCATGTCTTGTTGATATCTCATTTATACGTACATGTACATTTACATTGTAAATTAGGTGTGTATTATTCAAAGATGGAATTTGCGTTGGGCTGATGTAAATTTAATATTAGGTTTTTGCCCTTCAACCACATACAACACAGTATATTCAGTGTGTTACCTCCCGAGTGAAAGTTGGAAAAACTCAATTGGGGTGGGACCCTATTGGGACTCGAACCCACGACCTCCTGCTTTCTAGTGCAGACGTCTTACCACTCGACCACCAAGCTTGCGGGATTGGTTGGCTGGTTCGAAATGGATGTAGCAGCGGGTACCGCAATGAAACTATTCATAAGATGGAATTTGCGTCGTGGTGAGGTAAATTTAATATTAGGTTTTGCCCTTCACAGACGAATAATGGATGGCTGGAGTTTTACAACCCAAAGACAGCTCAATGTCTCTCCTTCCCCCCCCCCCCCTCCCAATACCAAAAGTTAATTTTTTTTTTCCCCCTAAATTGGTGAAGATCTCAAATTAAAAAACAAATGTACTGCCAAGATTTTACAAATATTAATTACATGTAAAGTGCAGAAATATTAGTTTCCTTCACATTCACATATATTTGCTTCCATATGGATACAAATTTTATCTTCAAGACCCAAGATTGATCAGGAATCAATTGTAATATTCTACTCATTCCAACCCACTCAGTTGCGCTCCATTCAAAATTCTCGTCTCTTCTTTCCGGCCTTGAAGACAAGATGGAAAAAAATAGTGAAAGATGGAGAAAGAAGGACAAGAAATGACAAGAATTCTGCCCAGACCTCGCCACTTACGACGTCTGATTCTGCTCGGGCAAACACTTGGGCTTGACGTCTTTGGGACTACGTCATCCAACTTGGATTGGAGCAGATTGGCATTTATTACCGACTTATCAGCCAGCATTTATTATGTCTACATGTTCGCTGTACATGCACCAGACAAATGCACAAAACTGTCATGTACATGTATACATTCATGCATGTACTGCATGTTTTGGTAAATTGTAGCAGTCTGCTATATTATGTACGTACTGAATGAGCCATGTATGTGTGCAGAGATAAGCAATCACTGTTTTTATTGAGAACAGGGAAAATGCCTGATGAAATTATGTACCGGTATGTACGTGCATAAAGTATGAAAACATACAAATCTCGCACATTGTGATTATACTTGGCCATATTGCTGCAATGTCAAGTGAACCACATTACATGTATACACCAACTTTGCATTCATGAGTTGGACCTTTCAACCATAAATTGCAGCAGAGTGCCCCTGCACACCATGTTATCATAAACCACCCAGCATCAAATCCAACCTACGGTAGCAGCCCACATAACCCCAGTAGCCACTCCTTCCCACACTACACGTAACTCTCCAGTACAGCCAGATGATGATGATCATCATTACTCTAGATCACTGGCTGGCCGCCCACGGTCATAAGGATGCTGATTCACCATGTCTATGCAAGAATTCTCAGAATCCCGACCCACAAATCCCCCATCCAGAATTTGCAGATAATTACAACGAAAAGAAAAAACGATGGGTGTAGTTGTTCACCCATTCTCATTAACACAAGGGCTACCGTACCTTAGACATTGTTTCCATTGCCAACCCTTAGGTTACCATGGTTATTAATTATTAAATTGCCTGTGAATTATCCCCTGTGCCTGGTGATGTGCTTGTTTATGAGGCTCTTTCCAGGCAAACTTGAAGGGGCTATACTGAGGAATTCTCTTGTTTTCACAGCATCCTAGACTGTGTATAAACATGCAGTGCTGTCTGTTGGGTTTTGTTGATCCGGGGAAAAAACAGCATCCTGTTTATAAATTCAATGCTGGCGTTTCTGTATTGTGAGCGTTTGATCAGACCAATTGAAAATTTCCCTGAATATTATTTCAACATTTGCAATAAACAAAAAATGTTTTAATTTGATGCCAAAGATTCACATTCCAAAATTTAAAAAACAAAATTGAAATAAATTTTTAACTGCATGGTAAAATCATTATTCTAAAATGATGTAATATGTTTTAAAACTGATACAAAGGTAAAACAAAAACAACTTGTTTTTTTAATGCCCACTTAAAGCTATAGTCCATCATTTGCAGCCATCCGAAAAAGTAACTGGCGTATTATTGTTGAAAAACATACATGTACTTGGTTGAAAGATAGCAAGTGGACTAAACTCCCTGTGAAATTAATCTTTCTGGCAAGCTATCATTTGAAGTAATCAACGAAAGAAGGCCTTTCCAACGGTGCGTCTTAAGACGCACTGTAGGAAAATTTAAATTAGTAGTTCGTTTTGTTATTCGGCGCAGCGCGGGCAAGCATTGGCACGACGCACAGGCGCGCGCGGTTGCTATAATTCGTCAGATCAGTGCGGGACATCGCGTATAGCTGCAATTCAAAACAGTTCAAAACATGATTCAGCAACTTTTGATTTGAAATTGAGATCCTAGAATGCTGTTTTTCCCCGAATATACAGCTGAAGCTGAGCTGAAACTTCATCAGATTAGTTGTTCAGTATCCTTCATTAGATTTTGAACACTTTTGTTGCTTCAAACGAACAAAATGCACAAATTACAAATGATGGACTAGGCCTATATCTTTAAGTACAGGGGTACAATGCAGACCAATCCCAGGCACCAACTTACTATACAAACGTGTACATGTACTCGTGCAGACCCTCACATCTTTACTTGTTCATATGTGCCTCAAATGGGCGTTGCCCTCAATGTCAAGCTGAATATTCATTGGAAACTGATGCTTCTACAATGTGACCAACAGGAATATGAAAATTTACATTCGTGAATTTCCTCCCATCTTTACCTAACAGGGGCATTTTCTCAAGCTCATATTAGTCTTGGGTCAAGGCTGGATTGGATTTTATTCCTCATAAATACAGCAGGTCCATCCGTGACAAGCAAGGTCGCTATCAACAAGATGAATCAAATCCAGCAATATTGGCAGCGCTACCCAGGAAATCTGAGCATACCTCACGCCCTGTATTCAAGCTAATGCACGTGCGTGAGGTATGCTTGGAATTTCCCGGGTAGCACTGCCAACATTGCCAGACTGCATTTGATTCATCTTGTTGACACTTCCACCACCGCAGCAACTTAATCACGTTTGTCACAGGACTGGCTGCAAATAAGGGGAATAAAAACCCAATCTTGGACTAAGGCTAACTGTTGATTGGCTATACTTACAGTGGTGTGTGACCAATAGGAATGGTCAAAGTTGAAACTCTTTGGTTGTTCCTTGTTCTGTGCTTTAGGATTTGCGATAGCTGCAAAATAGGACAAATAAAAAACAAATTACCAACTTATACAACTGTTTACATTTCCCGGAAGTATTTAAATTTACAATGAGCCACGCTGCACTGTACATGTGCCCGTAGTGAATTTCCAGATAGTGAGAAATTCTATTTCTGGTGTGCAGCACTGCTGAAAGCCTTCCTGCGGTAGGCGAGTGGTTCTCAATCAACACATTTCATCTCCGCTGGATTATGAGTGGTATTACTGATTAATCACAACATGGATTTACAATTCACATGAAGCACCCAGCTTTAGTCTGCACAGGTTCCAATTAATAATGCAGACCTGTGGCTCGTGAAAGGAGTCCTTCCTTTAAGGGTGCATGTCACTTCTACGAATATGTTAGGCATTCTGGTAAAATCAGACAGAACTGGGCAACGGTCAAACGATGGTAAGTGGGTATTAGGAAAGAGAATTTAACCTTTTCCTTACAATACTGTTTGTTGCATTTCAATTGAACATTCCACTGACAAATTACAAGCATGGCCATTTAAAAAAGCAATTTTTCAACATGTCATAAAAGTCAAATAATGAGAAAAAGACCTTTAATTTTCATGTTTTGTAATCATGAAAAAGAAAGATCCCAAATGTTTTTACTTAAAAACACTTTTTTACCCCACAATTTTTGTATGTACCTTTTCCTGAAAATAGGCCTACCAGGTATGTGTAGCAGACGACAAAGATAACAAATGTACATCTGAAAAATCGAGAAAAAATAATCACCCGCAGTTGGGTTTCTTGCATTTTTCTCCACTATGGCCTGTGCCAAGTTCTGTCTCATTTTTCCAGAACGCCTCGCATAAAATAATGCACATGAATGCATTTACTTTTTATTATCAAATACTTCTTATTATCAAAACAAAACGTGATTGCTACACATAGGCTATGTAGTTTTTGTTTTTTTAATGAAACTTTCAATTCAATTCAAAATCTACAGGTACCCCCCTGCTTGAAAGAAAATCATTTCAGAGAAACCTGCGGCAAAACATGGCTGTAATAACCAAAATAGTTCCTAAGAGCCAGGATATTTTCTCAAAGACAGCGGAAACTCTCCATCTGGAGACTACTGTCAATATCATTAAAGCCCAGGCTTGGGCTCATGCACGTCACAGTAGCGTCAATGCACCGTCTTCCGTGATCTTACACTGCGCAATCTGCGTGCATGTCATGAGGCAATGCAAATGCTGACGCATAATGGGCTACATGTCGTGTGGACCCTGTATGTAATGTACTTGTTACTACAGGTACATGTATGATTCATATTGCTCTGTTTTTGCTTGAGAAAAGAAACCCTGAAGATCTACGCACTTTGTACATTTGGGGGAACATACAATGTCACTTTTTTAACCCCAACATTCCCAAATCCTCCATCTCTTTGCAAAATGGAGGATTTCGCAGGATCGAGGCCTATGGCAAAAGTGTGTTGCTGATTTTGGAGGATGCAGTGTGTCAAGGTCTTAGGCCGGACCTTGTGTTGTTTATGCTTAGCCATGCATAAATTTAGGCCTACATTATACTTGAAATCCTCTGCACTGCTCCAGAATGTCACTGGCTCTACCAACAGTGATTGCATAGGATTGAGGCAAAGGTCACCCCTCCAAGGACCACATTCAATAAATAACGGAGGATTTTGCAGGATTCAGGATGTATTTTTACATAGAGGCAGTTGGAGGATTTGACAGGATTGCGATTACATTAGGGAGTTGTGGTTAAAATTAATCTGTACATCGTTTCACATACATGTAATGTTGTTCGTTGTGAAAGTGAAAACTAAAAAAGTATCACATGACTGTATATGTACATGTGTATCATGTCTATACTGGGTATGTACTATAATGCACTGTGTACAATGTACAAACGTATTGGCAATCTCTACGGTATTTCCAAGCTCCATTAGCATGCGTCTTTCATTATGTATCTTCATTGCAAAGGCTGTATGAAAGCAGCTGTCAACACACATTCACAATATGACGATTGAAGTCTTAATGCAAAATGACGCACTTTATTAAATGGAGTTACTGACAAATTGGGCTTGGTATTTTACAGCGCATTGAAGCTCGTGTATTATTGTACCAATATAATGTAGTCTCTGTCTACTGCCGGCAGTATTTTGATCTGAACAGGTTTTATTTATTTTTAAAATGTACATGTAGGCCAACCGGTATCTTTTTCTTATTTTAACTGGGTAGCGATTCAGTTTAATCCACTGGTCTCTCACGGGGCCGAGTAAAGAGAAGACAATGTGAAGAAATTACAGTTTCATAAAATGTAGGTAGGAGGTAAACTCCCTGATATTCTAGGGAAAACCCACGGAACCAAGTACGGGACTGGAAACCCAATCCACATGGCCCAGGCAGGAATCGAACCCCGGTCACAGCCCGGTGGGAGGCGAGGAAAGTACGGCTACGCCAACCTGACACCCACAGGTTTGCAGGAATCTCAGGTTTAATATCAGTAAGCAGTGGGGGCTGATCATCAAGTGCAGATCATGGGTTTAACACTTGCCAGAAGAGAATGACATTCACAGACGGGGGTCTGAGAAAGGAAATCTGTCAATCATACTTCCTCCCTCTGTGATGAAGGTCGACTCACATGACCAGGAGTAATCGGGATTGCTGAAATATCACATGACATCCAGGCTGTGACCTTAGCCCACTTTCTAACCATTTATCTTTTTATGTACTGGCACATGTACCCTACAGTTATAATTTACCTGGTCACTATTTTCACACCACATGAATGTATGTCATTGTCTGGTGAAGTTGGCCTGGCAGTTGCTCATGCATGCAAGATACGGTACATGTGTTTGACAAATTAAGGTGTATGGGCACATTAGCATTGATATTATAATAACTACCGTACATGTATATTTCGCTGGTGTTTTCACGAATTTAATTTTTGGATTTTGAGTTGTGCTGGCCATTTTATTACATTTGACACAAAGAACAATTTGACAAAGTTTCAAAGCGAACTACATGTATTGTTTATTTTCTTAATTATAAACAAACACTTGACAAAAAGCTTGAAGTCTTTTTTTTCTTCGTTTTCATGAAGTGACAAAAAGTCACCTTGTTAGTAAGGCCAGAGGGATCACATGTAGGAAAACTAAGACTTAACGCCGTACATGTACCGGTACATGCGTTTATTTTTGCTTGCCACAGACCATGCCTGTCATACAGCTTGATCTCGCTGTGGACTTCCTGAAGAAACCTTTATGCAACCAGCCTTGTATAAATTACATGATTACATGAGGATGATTAATGAAGCTCTTTTTCTTTCTTTCTTTTTTTTTTGGGGGGGGGGGGGTTGTATAAGTGCTAAGATTGTTTAGGTCATGGGGGTTCGGACTCCCCTCCCTCCTCCCCCCCCCCCTCCCCGCCCTCCAACAATACTGACACTAGGATAGAAAAAATATACCGATAGAAAAAAATCAATATGCCAAGTTACTTCCCACATGTCTGTATGCTGTTTTCTGTTTGTTTTCCTGACCAGCCTGTCCCCAGCTGACCTCTGCATAACCAGGTCAGAGGGCACGATACTAGGGTCAGTCTGTCTAGTCTATGGAATGTGCTAGCCACAACAATGAATGGAATGTTAACTTCAGCCTGTTTGTCATCAGATCAGCATCAGACATGCAGGTAGACAGCATTGTTTCTATGGAAAAGTACATACATGTACGGTACATGTACGACACTCTTGTTGTAACTTGTAAGCGGACATATACCCATATTTGCTACACATACATGTACATGTAAATATACATGTATACATCTAACTTATGTTGATGTATCTTCAGATAATTTTGAAGATCTTTTTTTCCCGCACGTACATTTGTAGGCCATCAGAAATACACAACTTGCCGCCGGAACCCGTGTAACAAGCCCAAGAAATACAGAAATTTTAAGCAAAAAAAACTGTTCTCTGGATTTTTTAAATTTTTTTTGTGGTGGTGTTGAAGTCAATATTGGAATAATTTAGTGTTGAGACTTTATCAGGCAGTGACGCACGCAGCTCAGGCGCATTCATTAAGTGCCTGGTTCTATCCAATGCTCCTTAAAAAAAAGTGACATTTCATGTACATGTAGAAGCATTTGACTATTTGACATGTTTGATGAAGATACATGTACAGAGAGGATTATCAGGCTGGTGAGGCCACAATTAATTGCTTCCTGTTCATGTCCTATGAGACACTCACAAATAGCCCAGACAATCTGGGGATCAAGTCACATGTAAATGTCAGACATTTTTCACAGCTGATAGAGGAAATTGTGGTTTAGTATCTTTTTACTCAAAAAGCTGCTTTCCTGTGCTGTTCAATGAACTCAATTTTTTTTCTACAAACATATTTTCACTTTGAGCCTACATGTTTAATAAAAACAAAACCTCTTTTCTATTTTGGGTGTCTAGCTTTAACCCTAAAAAGAAAATTAAAAAAAAAACCCTTAAGGCCAAAAAAAAAGTCTCCGGTTTCTGGTATGGAGCTTGCTCCAAAAGTGGTGCGGCGACGTGTTTTTTTTTTTTTTTTTTACTTTTGTTCCTTCAAATGTCGACTGATGACTGCAAATGGTGCCCGACTAAATTTTGTGGAAACATGGCAGTCCAGAGAGGCCACATAAAGCTTATACATTTGTAGGCCTACTTGATTGTAACCCCATCTAAAAACACGTTAAATTGTGCGGCAGCAGAATTCCAGTCAAACCAGTGAGTTTGGCAGTTTTGAGATCTTGTACATTGAAAAAAACCTTTTTCATTTTGCTGACGCGCATGGCTATGGCGACGCGCGCGCATACCAGAAACCGGAGACTTTTTTGGGGGGCCTAAAAGTGAGTTGCTGAATTATTTCAAATTTGTAATTAATTAGTCCATAGGAGACATTTTGTTTGATTTCTCATTCAAAAGTGAAGTATTTTTAATTACTGTATTAAAAATTACAATTAAAAAAGTTATACTTTACTGGTCATACCGGTACAAATGCAACTCATCATTGCAGATCTATGTACAGCGACATATGTACTGTATTATTTTGCAAAAATATGGTACAATGATACATTATCCGATGTATTGTATGGTGCAATAAGGTCCAACAAATAATAATACTTCGGCTTCCGGTTACCCTACCGGTACAATGTACTTACCCTATTTTGACAGCCCCTACCCTAATTTTTTTTTGGGGGGGGGGGGAATTAGGAAAAAAACCTGCAAACCATCAATTACTACTTTTTACCCTTGACTACACGCAGACACCTCCAGATACGACCGTACACAAAAAAAATATGCCCCCCCCCCCAAAAAAAATTGTCCTTACCTACCGGAACCTTCCCTACATGTACATGGGCAATTCCACACTAATGAGCCCAAAAGTGCGACATTTGAGAAGACCTTTAAGTTATGATGATAAAACTGCGATCTTGGTCTCTCAATTTTTGCTGTAAACATTACAAGCTTTGAACAAATATCCTCACCTGCAAATGATATAACTGGTTTTGTATTTTAGAAAATATAGTGGACATTGTTTTAAAAAGTGTTACGTACGTAACGAAGGGCAGACATTTTAGATAAAGTCACAAAGTAAGCATAAAGTTTAATGATCCTCCAATGTTGACTTATTTAAGAAGATGGAATACCCTGGAGGAATGCTTCAGTCAAAACCTAGAAAACTCAGAGTCAGTGTGAAGAATTATTTGATATTTTATAATCAGGATTTATACGTACGAACAGACTGGACATTTGTCACAAAATGTCTGTCCCTGTTTGTACGTAACCCTAATCACATCATAAATTTGAAGCCAGTGTGAAAACTGTTATATTTTTGCTTGATAACAATGTAAAATGGCATATTAATGTCACTGGAAGTGCCTATTAGAAACTGAATTTGTCCTAAGCACCCTTTTCCTAGCAGTGTGTCTGTCCACGTTACATACGTATCACACAGAAAAGATGCCTGTTATTTTCTCAAATAAAACAAGGTATCATCTATTGTCTTGTCTGGTCCTAGTCACTTTCAACTTAGCAAGGTATAGGAAAAAAATGAAGAAAATACTAGCTCATCTTTTACCCTTTATACGCAACATCCATAGACTTATCCAATTGGCCCATTAGTGTGGAAATGCCCACATGTATCTGCAAATATGCCATGTAATCGGAAGCAGAACTATTTTTTTGTTGGCCTAATTATGCATGTATTGGCAGCCATTGGATCTTACATTGTACATTTTCACACCCTGTTCTACCGGTATATGTATCAATCAATGTGTTAATTGTAATTAATAAATGTACATTGCACGCTCAGTTCATTTAGACCACAAAATTCATTTGTAGGCCTTTATATGCAGACTGCACAGTATACAGTGCAATCATCATTTCTCAAGCCAAGGTACACTGTATGGCAAATTGTATTCACCTTGCTCTATGATTATGCCCACTCCAGCGGACAGGTCAATAAATTAATAGGACCAGAAAGAGAAAAAAACAGAGAAAAGAAATAACGAGAGAGAGCAGGGGGGAGATGGCAGATTCTCCCCTTGCAATTTGCACCTCACACGCCATCTGTGAATCACCTGTGGAGAAGGAATGGTACAACCCACAAAATGGAACATTCCATGCCCAATCCATCTCTTGCATATTCACCGGCTGGCCGTGCAGCGCAGGGGAAAAAATGCATACTTGTGGGTAAATTAACCATTTCGTCACATTGACGTTGTTTCTTCGGAGGCTTGAGGTTCTTAAAATACTCCCGGGCAGCAGAATTTAGCCCTTTTGATCAGCAGACTACAAGGAAAGATGTGAAGACTAGAGCTGGATAGGGAAATAGTGGAGGGAAATACATGTGTAGTGCCCACAAATATAAATAAATATTCTGCATTTATATTAACAAATCATGAAAACATGACATGAATGCTTCTCATTTTCCATTTTTTTTTTTTACAGCTTGAGATTTGTGCAGAACAAAAAAGTGTTCAAACTTTTCATGAGTAATTCATAATCTTTACATTATACATGTAATTTATTTGAATATATTTGTTCTTTTTGAATTTTCTATTTGCATTTAAACGAAAATTGTTCTGACTTTTCTTGCCATTCACATTTTTAGTATCTAACCAAACGATAACAAAATAAGCCACTTTGGTGGTTTTTTGGGGTTTTATGGCAGTGGCCATAATGGGCAAATCTTTTTTCTACTGAACTGTAAATTCATTTGAATTGGGCTGATGTCTCCAAACTCACACATTTTTAAGCTAAAGAGCAAACTGAAATAAAAGCTTAGATGTCAAGAAAACACCAGCATTTTATTTGCCTACAAGAAATGAAAACCACAAAAATGTACTTACTTGTTGTTTTGCCTGTCATGCTGATGACACACTCAGCATTTCGGCCGATTTCTCTGGAGTTAAATGGACGGACTCGAACTGCTACTTTCACCGACGACATCTCGAAGGTTGTTCACTTTACAACTGATATCCAGGAATTTTTTGTACAAAATCAATTTTCTCCCTCAATCCGTTGGCCAAGACAGCTTGTGGAATTGGCGTAGCAGTTTGTCAAAGTTTTTCACAATGCTTTCTTTCGTCCGCAGCCATCACTGGAATTTACAGTTGATTTGTTGCCGGCCGCAAGTCCTAAAAACATCTTTTGAGGGGTACAGGATTCCCGACACAAAAGTGGATTTCATGGCTGGTTGCCGCATCACAATGCCACAATATGCTGGCGAAATTGACTCGAGACATCTTGGGCACACAAGAGCAAGGACGACTATCTGTGGGCACACTGTGAATTCCCAATCTGGCCCCCTTAGCGTGTGAGTGAGTTAATGTGTCTGTGTCGTACGTTGTACGTTCAGCTGTTGCTGGCTTGCCAATGACTGCATCGTGAATATTACAAGCTGTGTGTGGAGAGGGCAAGTGCGTCATCAGTGGGGCCCCATTGCTGCCTACGCCGGTGGAAACGCCGGTGCCCTACAGACAGCCCCTTCGCCCCTGCATCTCTTCCCGTATGCTCGCCTTGCTTTCCGCTGCTACGGCACTTGTCAGAATAAAAAACACGGCTGCATTTGATTTCTGGTCTCTCTCTCGCCTTTTTTTTTTTTTACATCACATATGGTTGGCTGCCCACGGCTCATTCACGCAGGCAGCTAGGGCAAATTAGCCTCAGATACTAGCAGTCCTTTGTTGCATGTTGTGATTAAGACAACAGGTCATTTTTTTGCTCTTTTTTTTCACCGTTGTTTTCTTTTTTTTAACCTGAGGAATGGAAGAGACACAAACAAGGGAAATTGAGTCCACGCTGAATAAACAAATAGGAGTGATAAACAACCTGGCATAACAATTCAGCTGAGTGGTTTCACTTTAGCTGAAACAAACAATCTGACACAACACCTGCACAAACTTTGTCATGAACACCTGGTAATTCATTTTGAAGTGAAGTGATCTTTTGTTACACATACAAATAATTCAGGTTTTTAAAAACTTTTTTAAGGTACGTGCGTAATGTTTATCCTGCATGATTATCATGTCAGAAATGTTATATTAACATACATATTATATAACTATGCACACAATGAGATTAGGATTCATGTTGTACATATTTTGTTGATGTCAACATTAAGGCCAAATAAAAAAAAATTGTTTAGCGCCCCCGCCCGCTTCCTTTTTGGAGGCCCCTCCTTTAACCAAAAAAAAAAATTATACATTTTAAACAGTGACAACATTTTGGCCTCTTTCTCTGTCGCATTTAGCCCATGTAAAGCTGGTACGTCATTTCCCGAGTCCAAGTGGAGTCCTTTTTTTTTTTAAGCTGGCAGCCATCTTAAAAAATAGCCCGGCCGGTCATTTTTTTGGGGGGAAAAGGGGCCTCCTTCCAATTTTTTTTTTTTTGGCTTGATTTGATTTAAAAAAGGAAAAAACTGACGGTAAATCTTAGTACAAACATTACAATCGTCCAAAAAACAAAAGAGGACTGGATTCCAGTGGCACACGTAATTTACATAAACTGTATGTAATTTCGTACTCACTTTCCTTGAGATGTACACTTAAAAACAGGACTGTAATTTTGCTGAGAATTACAAGGATCACACTTCAACTAATATGAAGATGTGTGTATGCATAAAGAGAATTAATTACTAGTAATTCATGGGCCCACTGAATTTTCTCAAATTTTTCATGTACCGGTATGATGTACATTGTAGGCCCCCTATTCTTCCAAATGTCGCATTCGATTTTTTCCAGTTTCTTGTCGGAGCCCAGTGCTGCATGCAGTCTGCCAGTCACTGGAGGCAAGAACCTTGCACACATCAGATTGACTTCTGACATTTCAAAGTCCCCAGCCCTCTTATTACATGCACTACTATGGGTACTGGCAACCCTGTTCATAGTACGTATGCTCATGCACCATATGCAAGGATTGAACACTGAACACTTCCTTTCTTTTTTAATTCAACGGAAAATGGTATTCAAAGAGATAAATCTGCATCTAGCCAAAACAAAAATGCTTTTGTGTGAAATAATTAAACAATTTGGACAACAGGTTTCCAGACCACTAGACATTGGCCAAATTTCATGGCACTGCTTAACAGTTAGCAGAAAAATTAGCCTTAACCATAGATAAGTCTTTTACTAAGTATTGGACCAAGTACGCCAAAATTCATCAATCAAACTTCTTGCAATGCATGCTTTGCTTTAGGCCGCCAGGCCCAAGTCCATCATACTCCATCAATATTTAGTCACACCAGGCCTGCAGGACCAAGTCCCCCAAAATCCACCAAAATGGGGGATGGATTTTGATGGAGTTGGGGAGGGTAGGGTTAAGCGCTATTTCATGGCGTGGATGTGCTGACGATTGCACATGCATGGAGATTTCTGTTGTTACGTCACTGATTTACATTGTAAGCAACTTTTCCTCTAAAAGGTACATGGCGTGCCTTTCACTATGCTTACTGCTAAATGGTCTCCATGAAATAGACGCAAATACAAAATCTGTCAGCAGAAAAAGGTGTGCTTAGTGCAGCGCCATTAAATGGGCCCTTACGTCAAAAGGCGGACACTGAGGGAAATTGATCTGTATGCTTGGACAGGCGTGAAAAAAATATAAACTGTTGTGTTTTTATTTGTTACTGAATTAAAATAACAATGAACGCCAGAGACTCGCAATGAATAAGGCCTATTGGCCAAACTCTAACATCTTTGAGAAATAATTTAAGTAAATAAAATCAATTATTAAATTTACTTGAATAAGCTTAAACTTCGTTTTTCCAAATACAGCATTTTCTTTTTGTTGACGTTATTTTTTTTTTGCATTATACTAAGGACGTGATGTGTACATAAAAATGTTTTACACAATTTGTAAATGTATCTTTTTAGCTTAAATGTTTAAACAAAACCTGTATTAATTATAAAAAAGTCAGGTGTGTTTACAAACACAAATGCCCCGCAACGGTGACAGTTCCCATGACATAACACCACTCTTTTAACATCAACTTACATGTACCTTGGTCACATGGAACATTCATTGACAGCATTAGTGTCTTCTGTAGGTTTTATATGAATTAATCCCTAATCCCTATAATCTCAGAATAAATACATGATTTCTATTGTTTTAGCCACTGTGAACTTGACCCTTGACCTTTTGGCCCCAAATTCAATAGGCTACTTAGGATTACCAAGAACAATCCACAAACCAAATTTGAAGTTCATATGTTAAGTATTTCTCAAGTTATCGCGCTGACAAGATTTCTATTGTTTTAGCCACTGTGAACTTGACCCTTGACCTTTTGGCCCCAAATGCAATAGGCTTCTTAGGATTGCCAAGAACAATCCACGAACCAAATTTGAAGTTCACATGTAAAGTATTTCTCAAGTTATCGCGCTGACAAGATTTCTATTGTTTTAGCCACTGTGAACTTGACCTTTGGCCTTTTGGCCCCAAATGCAAAAGGCTTCTTAGGATTACCAAGAACAATCCACAAACCAAATTTGAAGTTCATATGTTAATTATTTCTCAAGTTATCGCGCTGACAAGATTTCTATTGTTTTAGCCACTGTGAACTTGACCTTTGGCCTTTTGGCCCCAAATGCAAAAGGCTTCTTAGGATTACCAAGAACAATCCACAAACCAAATTTGAAGTTCATATGTTAAGTATTTCTCAAGTTATCGCGCTGACAAAATTTCTATTGTTTTAGCCACTGTGAACTTGACCTTTGGCCTTTTGGCCCCAAATGCAAAAGGCTTCTTAGGATTACCAAGAAGAATCCACAAACCAAATTTGAAGTTCATATGTTAAGTATTTCTCAAGTTATCGCGCTGACAAGATTTGTCCGGACACACACACACACCCACCCACCCATACTTGTTTCACATGACTAGTGTGGACTTTCCATTGCTTTCGTGTAGTTAAGAAAAACCAGTGAAAAAACTCATTTTTCTCAAACTGTGAAAACTCTTTCAACCCAATTTTTTTTCTATGATTCCCTTTAGTGTTTCTCTTCATTCTGCTACAGATAAACCTAACCCAAAAATGCCTCTAAACCTGTTTTCCAGAAATGGGGAAACACTGTGTGGACGTGGGGTAAGTCCACACAACGTCGGTGCTACCTACATTATGTGGACGTCTTTTGTTCGGAAGTCCACACTGCGTATGTAAGACAAACTCACCCACACACCCACCCACACACCCACCCACGGAAGGACAAGGCGGAAACAGTATGCCCCTTCGGCTTCGCCGCGGGGCATAAAAAGGAATCTACATTCACGCATTCCTCCTTGGAGTTAAAGTTAATGGCACAAATAACTGACAATGTTTTCAAACCTGTTTAAATAAACAGACCTTAGATGCATCACAGTACTTGATTGGGGTACACATAGTTTTACTTTTTGAATGACTGCCCGTTATCTATTTAAATAACAATCATTATTGATCATTTCAATCACACCGAGCTGCAAAAATAATAGTAGGCGTCAATCTCAGTGAACTGACTAAGCGTTTAAACAGTATGTAAAATATTTGCTAAACGTTTACAAAATTAAACGGAAAGTCACATCCTTACAATAAATTGACAGTGATTGTATGAGCAACAACAAAATATGTGGTTTATTTTGTTCAGCTGATGGGTGACCCTCCAAAGACTACATGCAATCTGTCAAAATTAAATTATAAGTCTTTATTCACGGGGTGCCAACATTTGCACAAAGGTCACTTGGTGTTCCCCAAAGTTTTGGCAACCTGATAATTAGTCAAAGGTGCCGAGTACAACCTATGCATGGTTTGTTAACGATGGACCGTTGTTGTTTTGCAACACACGGCTATCTAGAGGATGATGATAACGGCAGCCATAACGCATTTTTTTAACTGCTATCAAAATTGCATTGCAAAAAACACCATTGCGAATCTACATCTCATTTATAACTACCCTTCCAGCCTGAGCATTTTGGTAGCTCAATTGGTTAAACGTTCGACTACAAGCTGTAAGCACTGTCAATATCAGAATTTTCAATAATCGATCAGAAATCCAATATCGAGAATATTCGATATCCCTTGTAAAACTTAAAGACCATAAAGATGACACTTTGATTTAAAAAGAAAATAACTTAAGTCCCAATTTTCTACGGACTGGAGCATATTGCCCAAACTAGTTAAAACAAGTCTCAGCACTGACAGTTTGTCCAGAACGGACGGTTTCTTTTGAGGTTTTACATTGGGGGAGACCGTGAAAATTCCAAAGAATGCAGGGCACAAAGTATGCAGCTTGGCATTGTGTTGAAGTTTTTATTTTGAGTCACAAGCAACAAGTTGCGCCAAGTTTTATTTCATTATACAGCAAACTTTAAACACAAAGTAAAAACACAAACAGGAGACTTATTTTGATGATAATCTTACACATTTTCAATGTTCTTGAATATCATTCCTCAATATCAAAAATTTTGACATTTTAAACATGATTAAAATACTGCTATCGGTGATATCGATATCAAAATAATATCAAATAATCAAGTTATATTCAATATAATATACCATGCTGAAGGTCTCAAGGTTAAATCTGCGCTGTGAGAAATTGTTTTCCTTTTTTCTTTTTACCTAGTAATTAATACTTTTCTTCACTTTTATGTTTAATCAAATCCTACATTTCCCTTCAGGCACATTTCATTTCTTAGAGATCCTTGGCTTTGGAGGATTTTTTTGGCGGGAAATAAAGTCCAACCACCATTCTGTCAGGTCAGGAAACCATACGGTTACTAACCCCAACAAAAGCCACTTTGAAATGAAG